TCCCTAAATCTCATATGCATTTTCCCTTACTCCCAAATCCAAACCAAACATCCTGCCCCTCCCATCAATCCCAAAGTAAAGGCTCTTTTGCATTTCTCTTTGTCCTGCTTACTCTTTGCAATTAAGCAAATGGGTCATTAGTTAAACGCCACGGGCAACAGGACACACGAGGAGTTAATCAGAGTGGATTGATGGACCACTTGCAAGGAGCCCGGCGCACAGGCGCATGTATCTGCTCACAGAAGCACATGCCCGCTTTCACAAGCTATTGACATTTCTGAAGAGTTAGCCTCCAGTAAGACGCGCATACATAAAATTACACAAAATGGCAGCAGCTGATGAAAAGCGGCCTGATCATTGATTCGTGTTGTCAAACTGTGCTGAGTGGCGGTTTCTTCAAGAGGAAACGTCGGTTGAATCCTTGCCTCGGGCCATCAACATTCAGAGGGAGACAAGAGGATATTTTTCCAGCAAGTGATGGTGCGCGGCCCAATCACCGAGGTCGAAGACTGCTGACAAATCATTTTCATGAAGTATTTACAAATACAACTATTGATGGGCAAACCACATAGGATTTGCGGATGCTTGATTCGCCCAATTCCCAATTGATACGATGAGTACGCGGCCCGTATCCAGACAGGTGTGAGCTCAGTGTTAAGCGGTCACTTAAGCTTTGGAGACAGAGGCTGATTGTGAATGCAGACGTGTTTCTCAGCCCTTTTCTAATTTAAACGCTGGTTTCTCTGAGGGCATGCAGACCATCCCTTTTTATCTGTCTTTCTGTTTCTCTCCCCTTTGTCTTGTGTGTGCAATTGTGCTGTAGATGTGTGATGGGTGGCACTCTGGTAATAACATGAACAATTGACGGGATTTTGCTTTTGGAATATGCAGAAGAGAAAAGAAGACCAAACCATCACCAGATCCCACACTGCATGGTGGAATTTTAAAGACCCATGATAAAGTTTATTCAACTGTAGCAGCTTCAATCTGCTATACATGTATTTGGTCGTGTGGAAGCTGTTACAAAGGTCTAGGAAAAACAGAAATTCCCATTTTTAGGCTGCAATAAGTAGAATCCCTTACACTTGGTGGGGTCACAGATGTTTTGCAGAAGCATGCACACATCCTAGGAAGAACTATTTTTTCTGTGAGTGACATTTGTAAATTTGTGCAGCGCATTCCTGTCAGAGCAGCAGATGTTTAAATCTTCCACCAGATAATGCTTCAGCCTGCACGAAGCATTGTCGGAGCTGCTTAGCATGTTAATACATATGCAATACATATGCAGACATATCAGTAATAACATCAAAGCTGTTAATTCTTCAAATTCACATGGTGGAAGAAGAGGAAGCTACTTTCGGCCGCTTCCTTATTCACAGGAGGTCGCCGTTGTGAGCAGATCCGCATGTTTGACTTGGCAGAGTTTTTATGCCGGATACCCTTCCTGATGCATCCCCGAAGGGATGTGTGTCTCCTCCCAGGATTGAACTGGGGATCTTTTGCTTGTTAAGCGAGCATGTAAACCCTGACACATTTTTAGTATTTAAAGAGTTGCAATCTTACTTAATTTTGCAGCTTTAAAAAGGTGGACCTGACAAATGTTTGTATTAGTGCTTTTAAATTTCTGCACGCTGTCTTAATTAAAAAACAATTAACAATCCATAATGCATTAACACATATATCAAGAAATCAAAAAGCACAGCTTCTCTAGAATCTAATGAATGACAAAGATTCCCCTGATTTCTCAGATAGTGAATATAATGTTGGATTAATATTTCTCCACTAGATGGCAGGCTTGCGGTCCCTTCAGTCTTTCAACACTGAACCACACTGAACAGGTAAAATGATAATTCAAAGTCAAAACTTAAAAGACTGATGCAATCCATAGATCAGATGAGTTGTTTGTTCCTGGTTTAACACGGTCAGAAAATGGTGTGACATTGCTTTCTTCCGTTGAGTCAGAGGGAACGAAATGTTTCCTAGCCACACGTGATCTCTCTTCCTTTGACCTTGCATGTCTGCGCTTTACTGCGAGCAGGAAAGAGAGCGACTAATGGCGAGCCAGCCGACATGTTGGACAGGAAGGACATGACAGAGAAGTAACAATGCCACAGCATTGGATTTGTTTAGTCGGGCGCAGTCAGCACTATCTGATCTACCAGAGGGACAACAAGAGGAAGGAAAGCCTGACAACATCGAGCGGCAGCTACAACTCACACCTGCACAAACCTGAAACAGTGCTGCTGGGGTGGGGAGTATAGATATATGCACAACACGATAAGTAGCCAGACATGAGCCACATCAGTCACCAGTAAAATATCAAGTAGGTTTTATTGAACAGAAGAGTCTGAGTCTTCTTAATACTTTGAACATAAACCTGCAGAGAAGAGCTGTGACTAGCATTCTCGATATTTTCACTTCATCACGGAGCCAGTGAGATGTGAAGAAGGGGGCTTTGTGATTTATTTGTCTGTGTAAGCACAACATAAGAAATGTTTTATGTTGTACTTCTCTCGCTAAATTGATTCATTTGTTTCTTAGTGCGCTTTTATAATTAAATTTCTCTCGTTTGTTAAGATAATTACTCAGACAGTCTGGGACAAGAGAGCCATGGACAACCACCAAGTACTGTAATTCGATTAAAGAGACTTTCTTTTGCTCCACTGAAGCTTCTTAGATAGATAGATAGATAGATAGATAGATAGATAGATAGATAGATAGATAGATAGATAGATAGATAGATAGATCTAGTTTAAGGTCAATTCAAAATCCTAGCATTTGAACTTGCGTGTATGTGTGTGTGTTTGGCATATCAATGCCTCAATAAGTGGACAAGCAGAACTCCTCAACTGGGCCATTAAAGCACACTGCCAAGTAAGTGCTGTATTTCACTATGAAAGGATTTATTACTCTGTATGTTCCACTCAAGCAGGAAATTGTCCTGAAGTACCTGAAGATCAAATATGAAAGGGTGGAACCATGCAGTTTTTCCTTCTCTGGAAGGCAATTTAAAGTCACTGCAAGCATTTACTGTGTCCACCAGGTGGTGCTGCAGAACGATCCTAATGTTCACAAGGACAGATGGAGACTTACAGAGAAGCATTGTATTCATGCCTGAACATAGAGCAGTGTGTTCTTGTTTAATTGCGACAAACATCAGGCCCGAACACCTTCCACTGTCTCGTCCAGCTGCAGGCCTCCAGCCAAGTGTACTTGGTGCCATAGAAAAACACGAGATGTTTAGTGTGATTAGGCTGCGCAGGAGAAGATAAGCTATCGGGCCACTACGGTAGTTAATTCCATTGTTTGATTCTTATCTGGAACTGAAGGTCAAGTGTGGTACCAGGGTACAGCCACCGACTAGTGTGCCATTAAATGAAAACCTTCTGACTCAATTTTCTCAGAACAACTACAATAAATCAGAAGAGCACCGCCGCTGAGCAGATCATGCCTCTAACCCAAAGCCAGCCAGTTGTTCCCAACATGGCCGGTTAGTTCAGTATTGATTCTCTGTCGTGCTGTTATACCACTATAACCATCTGACCTATGAAAGCTGAGCTCACAGCACTGGCCTGAAATCCAGCACACACTGCCCTCCAAGGGGAAAGGGAGCGCCATGTGAGGAAACACTTAGCTCACCCTCTGGGCTTAGGACTGTAGGACTTTCACCGAAAACGCTTGCCCTTGGCTCATGCCCTGTTAGTATCGCTGCTTTAGTCTCTGCACTTCTAACCATGCCTGCCTTGCACAACTTGACCCCACTCTTACATTAATCTTTTTTAAAAACTCCTCTTGTGACAAGTCAATCAATTCTTTGGTCAACTCACGGAAATTCTGACACTCTCTGACAATATAATAAAACAGATAGACGTTAAAGCTCGTTTTAGTTTTTGTATTCGATTTTTTATAAGGGTGTGTTATAAGCTAGTTTTACAATGCGCACTTTGACCCTCGCAAGTGGAAAGTATGACATAAACAGATGCTGCTTGCTTGCCTGAGAGAAAAAATATGAGCAACAAGGACTAATTACTCACTGCTGTTTAGGTTAGTGTAGCCTCTGATCATAAGGACTACAAAGCAAGGCAAAGCCCAGAGGCGCAGAATATTTAAAAAGAAAACTAAAACATAACATTTGAAATCAAGCAAATAAACGCAAAGCAAGCAACAAGCTCAAGAATGCACGGGAACTCAAATTCATGATTATATCTTTCTGATTTTGCTTTATTGCCAGCTATCGGATACCTCTGGGTTCTAAAATCAAGCAATCTGAAAAGGAAAAAACAAACAAACACGTACTTTTTGGCTCAACCTTATTCACAGCCACACAGAGGCCACGGTCTGTGGTAAAGTTATAAGGCTGACTGACTGAGTTTCATCAGGTGTCACATGCGGTCATTACTGGAATTCAATCGAAAACAAAACCTGCTGAGTGTACTGGACCTCGGCTCACTCGGGCCCCAAACCACTGACAGTGAAACCATTTTCATTAATGGAGCAAATACAGCATTTTTTTTTTAATGTATTTGTGCAACTATTTAGCTTGTAATACAGTATTAAGTATGCTACTTTGGGTCCATTTTGATAACCTATTGACGTTATTTATTAGCTAAACAGACTGATTATCAGCATGTTGTTTGTTTTGAGCAAAAAAATATGACACATCTTCCCAGAGCCTCCGTTTTGTTTCCATGTTTGGATTTTTCCAACTCAGGAAATGTGATCACCTGAGGAGTAGTCGAGCTTGCTCGGCTTGTTCGTTCAAGCCCCGTATACTTATGTGGTATAATGATTATCCCACTGACGCCTAAGGTGTGTATGTGTGTATCAGCTCCCACCTATGCAGGAGTAATTACAATTTCACTTCTCTCCTACAGTTATCTCTGTAGAGACACATCTCTGAAAGCGAGAGGTTCCTTTACCATACTTTTCACGTTCATGTTCGTATATATATCCCGCAAAACACACACACACGCAAACAAACACCACTTCACACTTCCTCGTTAAGTTGGCCTCATTTTGAGGGATTTATTTCATTCTAAAAAGCATCAATGTGATTTAATACAGAAAGTAATATTCGTTTTTTTTACATTGCAGTTTAAGACTCCTGGAATCTGTAAAACAGCCGTGAAAATGATTCGATATAAAATCTTTTTAGTACCATGATCGGCACATCCCACCAGAAAACAAAGAAGTGAAGCAATTCTTTAGCTTTATCCTTTATGGAGGGACATGGAGGGATCGTGGAAGAATCTCAAACACGTTCCTATATTTAACCGTGTGATAGATCAGAGGTAGAGCACGGGCAAAACCTGGAAGACATGTTCATCAATAACAGTTTATGTCTGCGAATGAAAATCAGCTGTACTTTCCATAGTGTGTTACCTTTATATTAACACATAAAGTTGATTGAGTGATAAGCCAGTCTCAGTGTATTGCTTAAAAAGATAGTACACAAAATAATCACAATAATTACACAGTAATTCCCCCGTCCAGCAGCCAAGAAAACATCTTTGGAAGAAAATTATCTACAATGCAGATGCCTGTTTTATACATATATATAGATATATATAGATAGAGAGATAGGTAGATATGTCTATTACAACATGACTGCATTACATTTCACTTCTGGTTGTGATCTGACTGAACATGAAAAATTTTTCAGCACACTGTCATGCTATGAGCCTCTGGCCCTCAGGTGTTTTATTTGCCCGAGAAATGCATGACATGCAGTGTTTCCAGACAAAGGCGTGAGGGTGAGGGTGTGTTTGCAAATCCAGAATGAAAACCCAGATGCAAATGGCAAAGAAAACACTCAGAAAAAGAAAGGACAGTCATTAGGACAAAGCGGATTATGAGAATTACATTTGTATTTCAGTTTAAAGGAAAAAGAAACGTTTGCTGTATATTACTGCGAGCAGCCCAATATTGAGCCTTTTATTGGAAGAAATTTGGCCCCACTTTCTGATATTTATATTCCTTCCTAACCAACATCAGCTGCTTTGTGCCTATGCAAAACAGCTATCTGACATTGGTGTCGCTCCACGACTGCTCAATTCAATTCTAATGAGCTGTGGATTTATGAACACACCCACTGTTTACAGACTCACACCAGAACAGAAAACAAAGAAGAAGCTCTGACATTTAAGTGAATGACACACATCCGTTGACATTTTAAATCCTTGGATTCTTTTTTAAATCATTTTATCATGTCCACATTGCAAGATGAACATTGTCTCCTCTGTTGATAGATTAAACTTTGATTCCACTGGATCACCGTGTGCCAGAAAAATATCTCTTTGAAACAGGGAATTTAACTGTGTCCTGATTTGTGTTTTGTTTTGTTTCCACTGCTGCTGCTCATCCCCTCGCAGCCTCTGAGTCTTCCTCGAAGGCCCTGTTGTCATAGCGATGCTGCTGTCTCTCCGGGTCGAGGCTCCCTGGGTCAGTCAGTGGGACTTCATACAGGGCGTCTCCTGTCACCGTGATCACAGTGACATCTGGCGGTGACTCAGCAGAGAAGCTCTCTTTTCTGTCGTCCTCAACGCCCAGGGCCTTCAAGATGTCGCACTTACACATAGGGCAGGTTCGCCTCTCCAGCAGCCAGGGCTCGATGCAGGTTTTGTGGAAGATGTGATCACACGTCAGCACGGTCACCACATCGCCTACCTTGTAGGATTCGATACAAACGGCACACATCGAGGAGTCCGAGCTGGTCTCCTCGTCCCCTCTCTTGAGCGTGCGCACCTGCAAACGCTTAATTGCCTTCTTCGCCTCGGATTTCAGTCGCTTCTCGTTGCGCTTGCTCATGCTCATGTTGTAGAGACGGTTTGCGGAGATGAACACAAAGTAGGCGATGGACGCTGCGGTTACAATGAAAAAGGCAATGGACAGAAAGTAAAGCCAGTATGTGTCCATCCAGGGTCCGTGAGCCATGCCTTCACTAATTATCATTTGAACATCAATCCCGTTTTTCACCAACCTGACAATCTCCATGCCCTGAGTGTTACCAATCATGATCGCCACAATTTCGTCTGCATCTGAGTGTGCCATGTGTGTAGTGCTGTTTCCACTGCCGTCCACATTGTACACAACAACAGCAGCTGCTCCGAGGCGTTTGGCAGCATTGATCTTCTCACCGAAGGTGCAGTTGCCTCTCTTCACCAGGGCTATCCACGGTGGTGAGGTTTCGTTGCGGTTGTACACAGGATCTGGGCCACAGCCTTTGGGGTCTCCCACGGGAAGCGTAACGATGCCAAAAGCTCTTGTCCTCAGAGAGTTACGGCCATACAACCCACACTCACAATATTTCTCCTCAGTCTCATTGTAGCTGTTCACAAAGCTTATTTCCACGTTGGCAGTCCAAAATACAAAGGTAGCTGAACAGTGAACAAGCCCTGACAAAAACAGCAAAAGCAGCAGAGGTGGTTGTGTCTTCTTACCCATGGTAACACTGTTCTTGAACAAGAGGAAGTCCTCTTACTCAGGCTTATTTAGCCTCTTCAAAACTTCTTTTTTAAAAAAAGAAAACCTCCCAGTTCCTGGTCTGTTCGAGTCTCAGCAGTCTCAATCCGGCGATAGTTTCACCAAGCCCGCTGTCTTCAGTAATATGAGACGAGCCTTTGGTAACATAAAACAAGCTACGCGTCAGCCACTCACCTCTCGTTATCTTCCTGAACCTTGAACACTGAACACTCCCCGCAGAGGGCAGGGTGTTGCTATTCAACAAGTTGAAGTACACAAAACGCACAGACCTATGCTGTTTCCAGAGCCAAGGAACAACATTCGAGAAGGAAAGGCATGATAAGCAAATGATAACGAGACTTTCATAAGGCAGGACTGTGACAGCAGTAAAAACTGCCGCATTCTCCTTGCATAATGATGACAAAAGCAACTCAGCCAGTTTTTCTAGTTTGACTGGTTTCCTTCCTCTTTTATCTGCGGCTGCGATCATTGTTTTGTTAAGGTGACAGGCAAGTTTTGCACCTCTGCCTTGTGGCTATTGTCTCTGATCTACAAATATAGTTTACTGCATATTCTACTGCAGTAGACTAATGTTGCTGAATATTTTTACAGGCTTACGAAAAAAAACTGAGTGAAGAGGATAAGACTTTTGCACACGAGAGTAATGTTTTTCCATTGTGTTGATACTGTAACTAGAGACTCATCCACCACTGCAGGCATACCAGTGACAACTGAAATAGGCACTGTCAAGTTTCCGCTGTATCTTCTTACACACAAGTGAAAGCACACAAACACTAAGAGACAGAAAGGCTTCAAATGACAAATTCGATGGTGAGGTTGCTGTCCAGCTTGATAGTTTACCTGAGATTGAGACTGGATTGAAATCTGCTCTATTTCATTGAGCCATTTTTACCTTAATTCACACACACGCAAAGAATGTGTACACAATGCGCTATTAAATAATCCATTTGACTGGGGCTAGCTCTGTAAATAAAAGATTGTGAGATATTTCCTTTTAGCACAGCTAGAAGTCACAGTTTCTGATAATAGGAACAATGGTTCTGCTCTGACCCTTAAATTCCAGAAATATTACCCTGTCAAGTTATGAACACGCACTCCAAAAAAGATCTCATGTCTTGTTCAAGTTAATAAAAACAGACATTCCTCTGTACAGGTGAAGTTTGGTGTTAGATTCTAAAGGTATCCTGAGACTTTCTGATCTAATACTGGCATCTGCTGGCTGGTTAGTGGTGTGGTCAAAGGAAAAGACAAACCTCCACCAAGCTAGGTGAGTCAGATTGACGTGTCAGCACTGGTCACATGTGTGTATTTGCTTATATTTTAATCCGAAAAAGAATAGTGATTTCAACAGTATTCAGTGATGTTAGTTTGATGATGAACTTAAACTCACTTACTTTAAAAAAAATTAAAAGAATAAAAATAATGAAATTGTAAAGAAATTAATGGAAGCAGTATGGGGGAAATGAATTTGTACTAATTCACTCCTAAAAGGTTAATTAAATAATAAAAGATTAAACAGTATTAAGTTGTTATTCCAATAAATGAACAGAGTCATTAAAAGAGATAGATACTTATCAACCACTTTATTAGGTACACTTTGCTGGCACTGAGTTGGACCTCCTTTTGCCTCCAGAATTATTGTAATTCTTCGTAGCACATTCAACAAGGTGCTGGAAAAATGTCTCAGAGATTTTGGCTCATATTGACATGACTGCATCACACAGTTGCTGCAGATATGTTGGCTGGCTTCATGTGCCACCACATCTCAAAGGTGCTCTACTGTATTGAGATCTGGTGGCTGTGGAGGCCATTTGACAGCAATGAACATGCTGTCACTGCGGTCGTAAAGGGATGGCTATGGTCATCAACAGCTAGGTTGAGGTGTTTTAATGACACTCAGTTTTTATTACGCCACTATCAGCCTGAACCGCTGATACAAGGCTGGATGGATGCACGCTTTCAGGTTTTTTATGCTATATGCTGTCCCTAGCATTCAGCTGTGTCAGCAGAAATTGAGACTTTACAGGCCAGGTAATATTTTTTAAATCTTCTCTTGGAGCATTTTGGTGATTCTGTGTGAAGTGTAAACTCAGTTTCCTGTTCTTGGCTGACAAGACCCGGTGTGGTCTTCTGTAGCTGTAGTTCCTGTATTTCAAGGTTTGACATGTTGCATGCTCAGAGATGCTCTCCTCTTTTGGTTGTAATAAAAAGTTACCTAAGTTACTGTTGCCTTCCTATCAGCTGAAAGGAGTCTGGCCATTCTCCTATGACCTCTGACACCAACAAGGGATTTTCTCCCAGAGAAATGCTGCACACTAGGGATGACTGTGTGGGAAATCCCAGTAGATCAGCAGTTTCTGAAATACTTAGTTCAGCAAATCTGGCACCAACAACCATGCCATGTTCAAAGTCACTTAAATCACCTTTCTTGCCTGTTCTGTTCAAAGGCACACTTGCAGAAACCCTCTGAGGGCAGACTGGGCCTCCCAGTTTTCAGGCAATATTATTGGGCTTGCAATACCAGAACGTGGGTTTTCTGGAACCGTGTTTCAGCTGTTCCTGCTGTTCAGAAGGGCTGTGGTCCTTCCTGCCCTTTTAAAGAGGCGCACAATGCTAAATCCACATTTTGTACGTCACTTGATGCTATTCTGTTTTCTAAGCCAAACATACCTACCAATTTTTTTTAGCAAAGATTTTGTCCTAGCTCAATTCTCTTCAGATCCTAAAGCAAGTTAGGGGTGCTTTGTGCCAGACCTATCCATTTATGCCCCATAACTCCAAACCTTTCTTTTTTACCTGGCTTGATGGACCCTGTGTATAAGCATTGGTCAGAATTAGGTCTCCGCACTATTGAGGACGTCTACATCGACAGTTGTTTTGCTTCATTTGCTCAGTTGGAGTCATAATTTATGCTTCCCTCCACTCATTTATTTCGATACTTACAAATCAGGAGTTTTGTTAAACACTCTTTCTCCCATCTGGATCAGCCACCTGCTCATAGTGACTTCTGTGATTATTTGATTGAAATCCCAAACACCTAATCAGCCAGTTTACTACACTTTTTACACTTAAACCACCTACAAACCTCACCAAGGATGCTTGCGTTAAGGACATGGAAGTAGACATATCGGACACTTTGTGGGCCAATGGGTTAAAGAAGATTAAAGAATGCTCTGTTAATGCCAGATTACAATTTACGCAGTCCAAAGTCCTTCATCGTTTGCATTTCTCTCAAATAAAGCTAGGCAGCATCTTTCCATCTATTTCCTCATTGTGTCATGAAATGCAAAGCAATGGAAGGAACCACTGGCCACCTTTTCTGGTCTTGCCCTACACTTTTTTGGGCAGAGATATTTAATATGTCTAACTGGATTTATGACTTAAAATTAAAGCTGGATTGTATACTTGCAGTGCTAGGCTGCTCCCTGACCTCACTGGCACTTAGACGTCCTCTTCAGAAACCCTTAATGTTTGACATGATTGTAGCTAAAAGCTATTGTAGCTATTCTTAGAGCCTGGAAATCACCATCTCCTCCCTTGTTTAGGGTTTGGCTATGAGAGAGGATTGCATGATTGTATATTGAAGAGGTTCATTATTGTCTGGCTGAGACTCACTTTAAATTTGTTGAATTCTGGGGCCCTTTTCTTAATCATATTATGGGGATTCAACATAAATTTTAACGCACTTGACTGCACTTTGTGTTTATGTGAAACCGCATCTCTGCCGGACCCTGATCCCTTTCTGGACTTGTTGCCCATATCTTTTGGACTTGAACTCTGTTGCCCTGTCTAACTTCATACAGAAGATCATCTTCTTTGGACACTAGCATTTCTCTTTAACTTTTGATTTGGACTGGCTAACCGATGGGGGGGGGGTTCTTTTATTGTTTTCCTGTTCTGTTTTTTTTCCTTACTTTCTGCGCTTGGATGTCATTGTTTTTTATTTGATTTTATGTCATTTTAAGTTAAAATCTTGTAAATAAACATTAAAAAATAAAAATAAAAAAATAAAACTTTAAGAGCAAGTGTTTTAAAAAAAATATCTCCATGCATACCGTCTATTTACCAGAATACGTGTGTTGGTTTTTGTTTTAGGGTTTTTTTTTAACATTGCCTTATTTCTTTGTTGCATGACTTCCAGGCTAGGCTCTTATCAGTCTACACAAGATGACCAGCAAACCACAAACCCAGTCAATGCCACACAGGGGCGCCATTAACTCACAGCTAGGCTCAGCATCATTCATCACAATTAGCACAACAAAACAAGCAATTTCAGCTTCATTCAGCTAGTGTGCACTGCTCACTGGTGCAACAGAAATGCCAGACTGATGATTTAAGCATTTGTCAACCTTAAAGTTGCTTTCATAATATAAATGCATAATGTTAAATCTTCTGCTTAATGAAATACGTGCAATAGACACAAAGCAGCCTCTCAGAAAACCAGTAATTGAATTGACTCACCTTTTTTCAAATTATCTTTTTTGGACTCAGGATAAACTATCCATCATCTTAATATCCATTCATTTCATGTCTTTGGAGCACGAAGGCGATCCACACAGAGAGCACTCCTGACTGACGCTCTTGTGGCTCCGGGGGAAACTTTGGGGCATGTCCAAACAAGCCCTGGCACCCCGTCCCTCCACATATTCACACCCCCCTTTTTTTTCCTCACAAGTGAGTAGTATGGGTATCAGTCAACGGTGTAACTAAAACTACACTAATGGTTATGTTATGTCTACAATCGCGAGTCAGATATGCGCAAAGGCCTAGTTGAGCCCACAGTGCACCCAGTGCCACTGTTTGACGTGAAGATGATCATCTCCAAATTCAGCAAGTGTGTTTCTTAAATGTGTATTTAATCAAGAAAACATTACATTTCCAATTGTAAAGTTGCATTAAAACTGTGTTTAAAGAAATCTGGATTTCACTCCTGCTGCGCCTCAGGCTGGATTGTGCTCAAGCTGACTGGAATGACTCGCAACTCGTGATCCCCCATTCTTAGTAGCACCAGACTTTAAAATGTCCCCCCTCCCAATAATCTCTCTTTGCAGCTTGCAGCCGTATGTAGTATTAGATGCAGCGCTCACAACCAATTTTAGTCCTTAGTACATTTCTACAAGCTTGTAAAGACACACATGCGTCCTTGGATTAATCGCTAATTTCGTATTTATTTATTTATTTTTGTTTTATTTAATTTTAAAATGACCATGGGTACTGCTGTAGCTGTGCAGAAAAAGAAGAGAAAAGATTTTATACCTTACTTTCTGGGATTTGTAATATTTTTGTATTGCACGGTCAGTCTCCTGTCAGTAACAGCAAAAGCAGCACAGGAAAGTCACTCTGTCAGGGTGCGTCGGGCCGTGGGTAAGCATAT